TTAGATTCTTTTCTCTCCATTAAAAATGCTCCAAATCATATGATATTTTGGCTACTAGAATTTTAAATTACCTCTATAGTAACGTCATGATCCACTAGAACATTTATTCCATCTGTTTCAACTTTCAATTTCAAAATCACATATATACGCCATCAAATATATATAATCATATAATACATTTATAGAGTAGAAAAATAGAAAAATATACGTATAATACATCAAATATAAACACATATAAGCCATAATATGTAAACACAAAAATCACATACTAGCAAAACCAACTGAAAGTAGGAAAATACTGTAAATCTACAAAGAATTGAGCATGGTATTGAAATATGGGCACTTCTATAGATCAAGGGCATAATTGTCATGATCCACCAGAACATTCATTCCATCTGTTTCAACTTTCAATTTCAAAATCACATATATAAACACATATAAGCCATCATATATAAACACATAAATCACATACAAGCAGCTCCAACTGAAAGTAGGAAAATACTGTAAAACTACAAAGAATGGAACATGGTATTGAAATATGGGCACTTACATATATCAGGAGCATAAATGTCCATTTTTTGAACAAAAGAGATTGTCATGATGAACGTACATTGTCATGATGAACGTACATTGTCATGATGAGAAAGAAGCATCAGTGTAAAACTTCAATTGTCTGTTTAGATGTGCTAAATAATTGTCCCATTATTGCCACACATTTTTTATAAACTTCTAAATACTTGTCCTAGTACTCTCTCTTGAACTCACAAAAAAATGATATCTACAACAAGAATGAGAACAAAAAGCTTTAATAATTTTTACTGAAAATACTCAAATTAACAAAAAGATAACAATTGTGTTCTACCTTTCAACGTGCTAGTCCCTCCCAGTAAAGAATCTGCACCTCCCCTGCACCAACTAATAACATTTTCAACCTAGATTAACAAATAATAGTAACAGGGGCTTTCTATTTTCACCTTGTGCACCAATAAAAAAATAACAGGTGATAAAAAAAATAACCAGTAACAGGGGAAAAATAACAAGGGACAAGAGAGGTTTAGAAATAACAGGGGACATTTTTCAACCTAGTTTAAAAATATAATAGTAGCAGGGTTGCATTCAGTTTTCACCTTGTACACCAATAAAAATAACAATAACAGGTGATAAAAAATATAACCAGGAACAGGGGAAAAATAAGAGGGGACAAGAGAGGTTTAAAAAAGTTCTTGGCTAAGTAATTACTTCTGAAATAAACGTAATACTAGATTGAAAACAATAAAGTAATCACTCTTATTTTTATACTAGACATGAAAAACACCTAATCTGATACAAAAACTTTAATTTTTTTCCCCAAAATACCCCTAAGATTAAAACTGTCCCATAATTATGAATTATTAAAACAGTGTAAAGTTAATTGCTCATGTCTTTACAAGCGGCCTTGAAATTAAAAAACATTGAAGCCATAAAATTTGTTAGCTGTGGTGAAGCCAAAAAAGAAAATTCCAGTATTTAACAGTATTTAAACATAAGTATACCATTAGTTTTTGGTCTGATAATATAAGCTTCAGCTAAAAAAAATAAAAAAAGATAAAAAGCATTACTCACTCTATGGGCTCAATTCTCAAACATGTACTTATCATATGCATTTAATCAAACACCATATATCCATTTTATAGAGCACCAAATATCCAATTTTTATGATTAAGGGTCGTAAGTAATTTAGACTTTTCTGTAGAATTTCCCACATTAATGTTTATTTTTGTCTCTTTCTTCTTCTGTATCTCCTTTTTGGTTATTTTTAGTTCAACAAATTAACACTAAGATAAGATGGACAAGAGTTGGATTAAAATCAAGAATAAGGTCGATCCGAAGTTCATGAAAGGAGCAATCGATTTTGCGGAGATGGCTAAGGGATATGTTGATAGCGAAGGTCTTACACATTGTCCGTGCAATAACTGTCTGAATGTAATAAAGCAGTTACCTGATCTTGTTGGTGATCACATAATACATCATGGCTTTCAACAATCGTATGTAAAATGGATATTTCATGGGGAAAGTAGTTAGGAACATGAAACAAACGACGACCTTGACGAAACTGACAACGAATCAAATGACGGGGTCCACGATTTACTTGGTGATGCGTTTAATGTTGGATATGAAACCGAAGGAGGAGATGGAAACAATGAGTTCGAGTCTTCTAATCGATCTAACAATCCCAATGTGGACAGGTTATTTGCTTATATGGAGAAACCCTTATTTCCGGGATGTGATACTTTCTCGGTACTGGGCTTTATATTACGATTGATGCATGTGAAAGTAACCTGTAAAATGACAAATGTGTCCATGGATATGATACTGAAGTTATTGAGTGAGGCATTCAAGGACACAATAATCCCTAAAACCCACTACGAGGCAAAAAAGTATTTGCGTACTCTTGGACTTGGATACGAATCAATCCATGCTTGTAGGCACGACTGTGTGTTGTTTTGGAAGGAAAATTCAGAATTACAATCATGTCCAGTTTGTGGCGGTAGTCGTTGGGTAGACGATCAAACGAATCAAAAGAAGATACCAGCAAAAGTCTTGCGTTACTTTCCCGTCACAAGTAGACTGAAGCGGTTATATGCATGTAGGTATACTGCAAAGGACATGCAGTGGCATGCTCACAACAAATCCAAAGAAGAAGGAGTTCTTAGGCATCCAGCAGATGGAAAAGCATGGAAGCACTTCGATAGAATCTATCAATATTTTAAAAACGAACCTAGAAATGTACGCCTATGGCTTGCAAGTGATGGTTTCAACCCTTTTGGGACGATGAATACTTCATATAGTATGTGGCCTGTTGTGCTTATACCGTACAATATGCCTCCGTGGAAGTCTATGAATGATGCCTCATTTATGATGTCTTTGTTGATTCCAGGCAAAGATTCACCTGGAAAGGACATTGATGTATATTTACGTCCATTGGTAGATGAGTTGAAAGTTCTATGGGAGAATGGTGTCGAAACATATGATTCTGAATCTCGATGTACATTCAACATGCATGCAGCAGTTATTTGGACGATAAATGATTTTCCTGCATATGGTTACCTGTCTGGATGGAGCACGAGTGGGTACATGGCATGCCCAATATGCAACGAAGATGCACCAAGTATTCGTTTACGAAATAAAATAGGATATGTAGGTCATAGGCGATTTCTTCCCCACGATCATCCTTGGAGGAATGCACGAGATTTTAATGGGAAAAAAGAGGACAGGCTTGCACCTAAACATATCAGCGGAGAAGATTGCTTACATCAACTAGAACACGTACCTCAATGTCCACATGGAAAAAACCAGTCTTACACCGGCCAAAAACGTAAAAGGGGCATAAGAGAGTTAAATTGGACAAAAAAAAAGCATATTCTTTGAACTACCATACTGATGCAAGTTGTTAATGCGTCATAACATTGATGTCATGCATGTTGAAAAAAATGTTTTTGAGAACATTTTGGGAACTTTATTAAACATAGAAAAGAAGACAAAAGACACTGATAATGCTCGCCGTGATTTGCAGGATATGAAAATACGCAAGCATCTTCACTTAGTGAAGAAAAATGATCGTTGGATTAAACCGTCAGCTCCATATGTTTTAAATCGAAAAGAGAGACACCAATTTTGCAGTACAATTAAGTATGTTCGTTTTCCAGATGGATACGCCTCAAACCTGGCTAAAAATGTTATTCTCGAGCAATGTAAGATATATGGACTTAAATCTCATGAATGTCATGTCTTACTGCAACGTGTACTCCCTATCGCTATTCGTGGGCTTTTGAATAAGCCAATACGTGATACGTTGGTAGAGTTTTCTAAGTTTTTCAAGATTATAACTTCAGTCACATTACATGTGGGAGAGTTAGAAATGCTGCAAACAGAGATAATTAAGATTCTTTGCAAGCTGGAACGCATATTTCCTCCCTCATTTTTTACAGTTATGATGCACTTATGTGTTCATCTACCTCAAGAGGCTATTTTAGGAGGACCCGTACAATCAAGGTGGATGTATCCGGTTGAAAGATATCTTGGCCATTTAAAGAAATATGTTAGAAACAAAGCAAGACCTGAAGGTTCAATTGCCGAAGGTTATGTTGTAGAAGAAGCTCTAACATTCTGCTCACACTATTTACAAGGTGTTGATTCAAAACTAGAGAAGCGTGGTAGAAATGATGATGAAAGAGTTAATGATGTTCAATACCGTTAGTTGGTGAAGGAAATGTCTCTAACACGACTGATAACATGGAATCCCAAACTGAGCACTCTCATGCTCCAAGTAAGTAGTACGAATTTTATTATTTTATTTATAACATTACCAATTAAGAACAATATATATTGTGCAGATCAACGACGAAGGAGAGGCCCTAATATTAATAAAAAGGCTTCGCATATTTTGGACAAGATTGTGGAGAATCAACCAGATGCACGGATTACATTGAGAAAAGATACATAACTAAGAAATTTGTTGGGGATTCAGCAGTATATTTTGCAACGGAGGTTGGAATTATGATGCGAAAGTTTTGTCCAATGGAATTCCGTACATGGGAGAAAGTACCCAAAGAAAATAAAGAAGAAATGATCGATAGATTACGTGTAAGTTATACTAGAACCGGACTGAAATTTCTTTTTTAGCACTTTTTTAATTCACTCATTTTTAAAATATGCATAAGGCAGTCATATGAAGTCGGTATGACTTGATTCTTTTTCAACACGTAATTTATTGTTTTTAGTTCATTTTAGACTGCACAAAGTTATATTTTGGTTAAATACTGAATCATCTACAGGTCCGGCAAGACAGCATATCTATGTTGTGTTTTTCTTTTGTTTTTTTAAAAATGTTTCGCTTCATATAATAAAGCAAATCCGGTTCCAGTTCCGAACTGGTCCGGTTATAAATCTCATCCCTAAAAGGTTAAAATATGTACTAAATGCAGGCAAAATTTGAAATACCGCACGCAAATATAGTTTTGATGGAATGTGTAGATGAGCAAATACGAAGGCAATGGAAACGCACACGAAATACTTTGAAAGATTTTTGGAAGAAAAATGGAGGAATGACCGATCCACAATTAGCACGATCTAAAATAAAGCCAGATTGTCGTAGCAAAGAAGATTGGTCTCATTTGTGTGATTATTGGGAGACAGATAAAGCACAGGTAACTTTTTCACTCTTTACATATACACATCTTTTACGTAATTATTTATTATTTATATGTTAGTAACCATGTTCAATTTAAATTTTGTAGAAGTATGCTGATCAAATGAAAAATAATCGAGAAAAACTAGTGATTTCAAGTAGAGGAGGTTCTCGATCAGTAGCAAATCACAAATTTAGCATGGTAACTAGCGATTTAGTTTATATTTGTATTAACATATTCATTGAACACCAATTATAAATAATTGTTCTTATATTTTTATTATTGCAGAAAAACAAAGAGACTCAATTGCCCCCCACCCCAATCGAATTATATCATAAGTTGCATTTTCATCCTACAAAGGAATGGCTAAATGATGAGACACGCATTCAATATGTAAGAATGATTTATCGAGTAATATTAATTTCCGTTTGTAATTATTGATATTGGTGTTATATATAAGTTATTATAATATGTTTTTATGTTGTTTTAGGAAAATATTCTCCAAATGAAAGAGGATGAATGTACCAAATTAGTTTCTGCGGGAGTAAGCATTACTCCAGAAATGGAATATGAAATAGAGAAAAAAGTCGTTAAAACCATTTGTGCAAAACATAAAACATTACTATCTGGATGGGAGGCTTCAAGTGGACCTATTATGAGGAAAAAAGATCTACATATCTTATCAGCAGCGGAACCGTCTCAATCAGCCTCAACGGATGAAATGGCTTTGAAAAATAAAGTTACTGCACTCGAGGAAGAGATTCGAGAAAACAAAGAAAAAGTGAAACAAAGTGAGGAGAAATGTGAAAAGATGCTTCAATTTATGATCTCGAAGTTCCCAGATTCTCAAAACATATTATGCCCGCCTGATAAAGAAGGATTTCATGCATATGATGACATGACAAACACATATGATGAAGAGTAATAGTCATGACCTTAAGTTAAAAGTTAGAACTTTTTTCAGATATGGTTTTACTATTTAGACACTGCTTAGATTTTTTCTGTTTATTGTTTTAATTTGGAAATGATGTCTAGATTACAATACATTTTCTATTTTCAGTACATTTAGTCTATAACTCTAGCACTTACAACTAGTTATTAATACTAAAAGGATATTGCATATGAGTTTGATATCCTGTCACTAAAAAAGGTTAGGGACTAAATGATATTTCATTTTAGACTGATATTCAGTCACTGAAAAAGCATGTTAGGGACTGAATGACATTGTATCAGAAACTAATATTCAGTTATTGAAAATTCATGTTAGGGACTGAATAGCATTGAATCTTAGACTGATATACAGTCACTAAAAAACCATGTTAGGGACTAAATGACATTGTATCCTAGACTAATATTCAGTCACTGAAAAACCAAGTTAGAGACTGGATGTCATTGTATCCGAAACTGATATGTAGTCCCTAAGAAACCTGTTTAGAGACTGATTGACATTGTATCTGAGACTGGTATTCAGTCCTTGAAATATTAGGTTAGTGACTGAATAAAATTGTATTTAAGACTGATATCCAGTCATTGAAAAATCATGTTACAGACTAAAGGACATTGTATTTGAGACTGATGTCCAGTCCCTAAAAATCTGATTAGAGACTCATGACATTGTATCCGAGACTGGTATTCAGTCCTTGAAATATCAGGTTAGGGATTGAATAAAATTTTATTTGAGACTGATATTCAGTCATTGAAAAACAATATTAGAGACTAAGCTAGGTAGTTTAGAAGACTGATATTCAGTCCCAAATGATATCAAAAGGGTCTGATAGGACACAAAATAAAGATTTCAATGAAAATATTACAGACTGAATAATATATTATAAAGGGCTAATATTCAGTCTCTAAAAGATAGTATCAGGGACTGATATAATATTAAATTGGGGATTTGAATAAAACAAATTAGAGACTGAATGAGATATTATCTAAGACTGATTTTCAGTCTTTGATACATTGATGAATTAGGGACTAATTTTCAGTCCCAGATACAAAAAAAATCGATTATCTAAGACTAGGTCTCGGGGACTGGCTGGGGACTAGCAAAATCAGTCCCTGATTCTCATCAGAGACTGATTATTGACCATCAGAGACTGATTATATCAGTCTTTGATACCCTTTTTTCTTGTAGTGATAGAATATCCTAAATGATTGTTTACGATGAAGTTTCTATCATCCCACTTATTGTTATTCCAGAATACAAGTGCTTAGAAAGTTCTTTTCTAAGTAAGAGCAATATAGAACTTTAAGAGCTAAAGAACCATAAGCTAAATGCATCATAGTTTGGAACTAGCAAGTTTTCAACTGTTGTTGAACCTGCTCAATAGTTGATCAAAAACTAATGAAACAAATAGAGATGCATTCATGTATGATTACCAAGTATAGGCTTGATTAATCTTTCTTGATATAGTATGACTATAAAGAGTAAATGAGTTATCAAAGGAGAAACCATACATGAATGAAAAATATTTTCAGATTTAAGCTAACATCTCAACGTAAGAATCTTCTTTATTATAAAATAATTACATAGTGTGATTTAATTATAAATCAATATGACTCTTTTGATTTCTACAAAGCTAGTGGGAGCGCATTAACATTCCTAGTCTTATATGTGATTGGCATACTAATTCTTGGAATAAATATCTATATAGATAGATCATGACAACTTAAAGGATTAAGTAAAACTGCATTAATTTTCAAGGATCTTAAAGAGCTTAAGATAAAGGACTCTGAGAGAGCTATCTTGTTAACTACCACATGACATGATTTTGATCACTCCTCAAAATCCTAGTACAATGTTTTGAACTAGATAATATAATTCTATTCCATATGTTGTTGCAATTGGGTTAATCATATATGTCATGATTATGCATGAAGGCCAGATATTTCGTGTAACGCCTGTGTTTCAGAGCTAAGCATTTTAGATGATGTAATAGTCTAGTTCAACTATTGTAACTCTTTTGAAGTAATAAAGATGAAATAATTGAGTATTATGTGAATTATGTGTATTTATGTGCTTATTACTTATTTATAAATGTATAATAAATAAAGGAAAAAAATAAGCGTCAAAATTAAAGTGTGAGATAAGCCCGATATCTTTACATAAAGTTGTAGTGGTCGAAACAAGGATTCCAGGGATATAAAGAACGCCGAAATCCGAGTTATAACGAAGAAGTTATGACCCGTCGAAGTTTCGCGACGGAACCGACACGATACCGGGAAGCGTAAATAGTGAATTTACGATAGAGCGACTTTTAGCCTTAGCAATCTAAATGAAAGTCGTAGAATACGTTAAACCGAGAGCGTCCATAAAAAGAACGCCCAAATCTGGCTTCGTATGAGGAAGTTATGATTTTTCGAAGTTTCGGCTTAGCAGTGTACAGCCCGAAGTTCGAATATTAGATCGAGCGGTTTTTAGCCGACACAACCTAAACGAGAATAGAAGATCTCATTAATAGTAGCGTATCGATAAAAAGACAGACGAAAACGGACGTCGGATGAAGAAGTTATGAATTTTTAACGGACCAATCATGTCCCGGCCTGTTAAAAATATAACTTTTAAAATAGAGTAAAAATTAGCCGACGGAGTCTAAACGAAAGTTGTAGATTACGTTCCCGCCTACGCGTGGATATAAAGAACGTCGAAAACGGAGCTCGTATGTGAAAGTTACGAATTTTTAAAGTTTAGACTCGAATTTGCGAAGCCTGTTGCTCGATTGATGACGTGGCAAGATCCTAGCCGTTGCTTGCTGATCACGCCTCGCTTCGGATGAAGGACATGTCGCCTCGCATTACGCCCCACGTCCGAAGATGGGTACGACCGGCGTACTTGGTGTTGTGCGGTCCGAAAGATGGCCACGTAGCCCCACCGAGACTCTGCCACGTGTGAAGCCAGCTGGTGACTCTATCCGAACTACGCCCCGCATAGTGTTGTACACCCAGCGTACCACCGAAGGCTCGCGGCTATAAATACCCTGCGAAGGCAGCCGACTTTCTTGCACCAAAATCACTTCTCTCTAGTTTCTTTCTCTCTCTAGCCTATCTTAAGCCCCCTAAACCCTAGGAAAAACCCCTAGCACCCAAAGGAAGCCCCGAGGCTCCCGGAGTCCCGAGAAAAAGGGTCTTTCGGTTCGGAAACGTTGCTCCAAGCGAAGCCCGGTTTTCTTTAAAATCCGCTGTAAGTGAGCTACGCCTATGAAATTTTTAATATAGCTTTTAAATAATTATAGTAATGTTATTAGGTCCTTAAAATAATTATTTGGGCTATTATTATGAGTTATATAGAGTGTTGTTTAACACTTATATAATAATAATAACAGCTAGACTATTAATTAGTCGCGGTTAACGTTAGACTAAACCCTAGTGGTATTGATACTAGGTTTTGTCAAGGGAAAACTTATTTTGAGATAACGAAGCGCTGTTCGAGTGCAGAGTCACCACCTTTCAGGTGAGTGCATAGTTACTGTCAGCTTACACATAGATATGAAGTATTTTATATAAATTACGTGATGTGTGTGCATATTATCTGTATACTTGCTATCTATGCTGGATAAACGATTGTATACATGTTTTAAATGATTTAAACTGTATATGTATTTTATATCTACAAAATGTGCTGGGTAAAACATGGGTAGATGTAATAGTTGTTGTGTGACAAAATAAAATAATGAGAGGCCTCCTTATAGATGTTATTAATGATCCAGCCATCTAGCGGAGTATAGATGACGACCACGGACTATTCTAGACAGTCCAGTGGAACGCTAGCAGGCTCGCAACCTGTAGGTGTTTATTTGAATTGTGTGTTTACCAGCAGTACTCCATCCCCCACATGGTTGCCTTATTTGACATGAATTGCTGAGGAATCCCCAAAGCATGTGTTGTCACCTCGATGAAAGTCCTTAGACTAGGTCCCTTGAGTTAGATGTTTTAGGGACGTAAAGTAAGGATAACGGGAACGGGTAATCGGGTTTGTTTGGTTGATAAAGGTAATAAACTTATTTATTGTGGGTTGAAAACCCTATGTGCTCACCAGGCTCCCAAGCCTGACCCACTCAGTTTCTTGTATTACAGGTAGTGGCGCATGAGCATAGATGTTTGGATGAGAGATAAGGGATTATAGGCCAGTAAATATGAAATAATGTAGTAAGGCTTATGTTGTACTGTTTATGCTTTTGATCTGTATCGAACATGACATCCCGAGTCTTTTAATGAAATACATTTCCTTGGAAATGCTTTTGATAAATCTTTATCATATTTTGTTTTGGGACAAATTCCACAACACTTTTATTTAAAATGTTACTCTGATTTTCAAACAAGCATAAATAAAATCGGTCTTTTCTGGCCGTGAAATTGGGGATGTCACATTTCGTATGCTTACAGCAGGTCGAATGATACCATTATAATCCGAGAACAAGTCATGGTGTGACTTATATGAACATTCTAAAGTACTTGAGAGAACTAAAGAAAAATTACTAATTTGCGGAGTATTTGAAAGAAAGTTATGTTTAAGCTATTACACATATGTTAAACCTCCAAATAGATTGAGATAATTCTCAATCACAATCGGGCGTTTTTTAGTGGTTCCATGTAGATTTTAATTACAATTACACATCGAAATTAGGATACAATGTGGTTTGGAGAACCACACACGAAGATGCTTATTGAATAGTTCATTATGACTATGAGTAATCCCATTATGCAAGTATTGGTATCTAAGTCATATTTAAGCATCTCATACATTCTCAATAGTTTTCTCTCTCTCTCTCTCTCTCTATATATATATATATATATATATATATATATATATATATATATATATATATATACCTGAAAATGTTTGTATGCATAAAGTTTACACAGTTCAAGTTTGTCAAATCTACTTAACAAAGCTCCTTCATCAGCTAAAGAATGAAAGTCAAGCTG